ACAAGGTACAGACCCCCCCTGGAATGAACAGCCGCCATGACCCCCCTTCCCCCCCAAAGTGTCCTGTGTGCCCTCAGCGCGTCGTGGGGAGATAGGGAGGGAGAAGGCTGAGCGCCGCCGAAGGTGGACAGGGAAGAGGTAAGGCGCTCCCTGACGGCTGAGGTGCCGAGCGAGGGCAAGGCGTTGCTGAGGAAAACGCGTTTCTGAGGAAAAGGCGAAATGGCCGTGGTTTTTACGCAGAATCACCTGAGATAGGTGTCCCCGAGGGTGCGAGGTGACGCCATGGTGGAGGCCGGGTGTCTCCGTGGCAGGCGAGCCGGGGTCGGCCCGACCTGGGAACCCCGAGAAAAGACGGGCCAGAGGGGGTGCAAAAGGAAGAAATGCAAACAGAGGGGGCAGAGGCAATGCTTTCAGCAGCAAAGAATTAAAAAGAAAAACAAAAAAAGGGCAGTTCCGGCCGCGCCACTCGTCCGGCGACGGCGGGGTCATGGTTGCGGGTTCGAGCCCAGGCCCGGGGCCCAGGCCTGCATCCGGCCAGGGCTGCAGAAATAACAAATAAATGGCACCAACACACCTCTCTCCCCCGCCCTTCCTCCCTCTCAGACCAACCAACCAATAACAATTTTAAAAAAATGAGAGAAATGCAGAATGTCGTCCACCCCCATGGGCGCACGGGACTTGCCCAGGCGACGCTGGTATAGTGTGTTCACCGTCATTGATTTTATTTTATTTTTTTTAAAACGTATTTTATTGAACCCTACCAGGGCATAGTCATTCCGTTGTTTTTTTTTTAAAAAAATATTCATTTATATGTTCTTTGTTTATTTTTATTAATCCTCACCTGGCGATTATTTTTCCCCCTTGATTTTTAGCGGGAGTGGGAGGGCGGGTGGAGGGAGACGGAGGGAGGGAGAGAGGAACGTGGACGTGAGAGCGGTGCCTGAACGGGCCTCCTCCCAGCATGCACCTCGGCCCAGGGGCTGCCTCCCAGCATGCACCTCGGCCGCCCCAGGGGACCCCCGCGACCCTCGGGGCCCGGACGCTAACCACTGAGCCACCCGGACAGGGGGCTAAGCCATTGGTTTTTGTTTCCTACGTCCCTGAGGTCATTTTGATTTGATTTTTGATTTTGATTTTGATTTTTCATTAAAGTGCCCATCCTTCCAAGATGGCCATGTTGACTCGCAGGAACTCGTAGGGTCCCTGTACCCCGTGTGCCCGGCACCCTTCCTCCCCTGACGGCCTGCGACCTGCGCTGCGTGTCCCCAGGGAAAGGTCGCCTCCAGCTCCTCCCCGCGCCTGGCGGGTCCCAACCTGCCCGCCACGCCCGGAACGTGCTTTCCAACCCGGTAGCATAGATGGTATCTGGCCCTCCCGCTCACATGACGGGCAAGAGAGGAGACATACTGGTGGCTGTATTTTCTAATTTCTTTTCATTTTATTTTATTTTTTGGTATTTTCTAATTTGTGAAAACAGGTCTGCAAAGGGCAAAACAAAGCTGACACCCCCCCATTGCCACCCCCCCCCCGTCCCCCCAGGGAAGCATCGCTGGCGTGAGCCCGTGTGAGCCTTCAGCCCTTCCTGGGCTTAAGCTGAAAGCTTCTTCTTCTTTTTTTAAAAAAAATATATTTTTTATTGATTTCAGAGAGGATCCTGCAGGGAGCCCGCAACCCTAGCTTGTGCCCTTGACCAGGAATCCAACCGAGACCTTTCAGTCCGCAGGCTGAGGCTCTATCCACTGAGCCAAACCGGCCAGGGCAGATTCCATAGGCTGCCTTGGCCCCGCCGGTGCAGCTCAGCGGTGCAGTGTCCACCCAGGAACCAAGAGGCCACTGGTTCGATTCCCGGTCAGGGCACGTGCCCGGGTTGCAGGCTCGATTCCCTGTGTGTGTGTGTGTGGCGGGGGGGGCACGCAGGAGGCAGCCGATCAATGATGATGTTTCTATCTCTCTATACCTCTCCCTTCCTCTCTCGCTCTAAAAAAAAAAAAATCAATTAAATATGCCACCCAAACAAAGAAGAAAAAAAAAGGGGGGAAAAAATAAATATGCCATCTTGTGTCTGGTTATTATTGTCCCTTGAAACCCAAAGCTTATATCCAGTATGGTCTGGGCATTTCTTGGACTCTCTCTATTTCTTGCATCCCATTTCTCATTTCTCTATTTTTTCTCGAGTAGGTTGACATGTAAGGATTTTCCACACTGTTTCTCTCTCTTTGGATTTTCCTGTTTGTATCACTTTTATGGGGGATCATCCCCACCCCTTTCCTCTGATAGGATTTCCTAACGTTTCCCTTCCCAAGGTTAATTCCTACATGCCTGTCAGATATGTCCTAGTTGGATTGTTCCCATCTTTCATGTTCTTCTTTAATTTGTAGATTTCTATTTTTCTCAGTACATCCGACAAGAGTGCTTTCAGTTACATTATTTTTTATTATTTAAGAATGGCTCGGCATCCACTTATTGTCCACATTCTTCTTCAAGATCATCCTCGCTTCTTGCATTTTATATCCATTCATTTCCTTTTTTTATTCTTCCATTCACTTGGATATTTATTATTTTCTAATGATTCCCGCAAACTAGTTAGTTCATGGAAGGTATTTTTTCCCCCCCTCTAATGAAAATGTTTGAGCCAATTATTTAAATCTCAGCTCAGTGTGGGCCATGGGCCATCGTTTTTGCCATTGTAAGGTTATGACAATTGCATCCTCCTATTTCACCCGCCCGGATTTAATGGATTCATGACATTACACTTCAAACTTGGGCACAACAATTGTGAAAGCATGAACACTGTTGTATATTAAAAAAAGTATAAACGCGGTTATTATAAAAATGAAAATGTTTGAGCCAATTATTTAAATCTCAGCTCAGCGTTGTCCATGGGCCATCGTTTTTGCCACTGTAAGGTTATGACAATTGCATCCTCCTATTTTACCCGCCGGATTTAATGGATTGATGACATTACACTTCAGACTTGGGCACAACAATTGCGAAAGCATGAACACCGTTGTATATTAAAAAAAGTATAAACGTCGTTATTATAAAAACAACCATCCCTAAAGAGCTAATATGCAAATGGTTGTCAAGCCATTGAGCCGGGGCTGGGGGACCTGAGGCCGCGCCCCAGACTCTGACAGTAGGGAGAGTTTCATATACATTTTACTAATTTTCTTTCATCTCTGACACTTCTATTATAGAGAAAGGGCAAGTAGCAATATTGAAATATTCCCTCTAATTAATTCCCTTTTAATGTGCATGAATTTCGTGCACCGGGGCCACTAGTAAACTTATAAAAGCTCCCGCTGCCAGGAGATATCAATACTGTACCAGGGCCTGAGCGTTAGGACCACTAGGAGGTATTACGCTCAGAGGGTTTAAGGTGGGGGTGGGAAACATCCATCCCAGGGGCCATAGAAGGCCCTTGAAATCATTTGGTCTGGCCCTGCCAAGGCATGAGGGGCAAGTTGATGAAATGTTTGACCAAGTAGAGGAGGCTAATTTTTTCCCTCATTTTTAAATATATTTTTTCATTGTTGATAGCATTACAGATATCTCCCATTTCCCCCCTGTTCCCCCTCCTCCCAGCCCCTACCCACCCCCTCACCCCCAGTTCTTCACTAATCTATTGCCCGTGTCCATGGGCTGTGCATATGCATATATAAGTTCTTTGGTTTATCTCACAACCCCACATCGAGGTATGTCAGTCTGTTCCATGCCTCCCAGCTTCGGGTTTTATTTTATTGGTCCCTTCATTGTGTTCATTAAAACAAGTGAGACCATGTGGTATTTGTCTTTCTCCGTTTGGCTCATTTCACTTAGCATAATAGTTTCCAGGCCCATCCATGCTGTCCCAAAGGCTACGAGATCCCTCTTTTTTTTTTTTTTTTACAGCTGCATAGTAGTCCATAGTGTAAATGTCCCACAGAATTTTTACCCATTTATCTACTGATAGGGATAAATGGATCCCTGGGTCCCTGGGCTGTTTCCAGATCTTAGCTATTGTAAATACGCGGCCAGGCTAATATTTCAGTGGATGAATTCTGTTTGGCCCTCGAATGGTGTTAACCCATATCCAGATGGCCCTTGGTAGGAAAAGGTTCCCCACCCCTGGTTTGAAAGCATTGGAACGGATGCTCAAGTTTGGAACCACGTACAAGCTAGACAGATCCCCTAGTGTTGCCCGTCCTGGGAGCCCAGCTG